CTCTTTACCCATCCAGTTTTCTCCTCCAGCTGCCACCATTGTCTCCAAGCTCACCTTACTGCCTCTGCAAAAGGAGAGTGCTGGCATGTTGGGTTTGTTTGCACCACCTCCCTCCTCCTGAGGAGACCCCTCAGTCCCCCGCCACTGCCACCCCAATCTCATCAAACATCCCACCATAAGCTCCAAGTTTTTCATTGGCACCCAAGTAACAATAACCCATCCTGAGGCAGAACATAACCCGCTTGGGGGTAAAGTAACCTCTCCCAGCAAAAGTTCTGAAGGCAACCTTGGGGCCTGACACACTGTCCCAGGTAGCGGAATCAAGATGCCCATACTCCAAGAAATGTTCTCATGTTTTGCCTGACACTCACTTATTCCTGACCTTTCCATGCCAGAGAAAGATAATAGCTCCCATTTGTTTAGCATTTTACAGGATTCAAAACCTTTCAGCAGCATTATATCACTGACTCCTCCCAAGAGTGCTGGAGGCATAAAATCATCCCCCATGTCAGATGAAGAAACAGAGATTCAGAGAAGGCAAGTGGCCTGCCCTGGGCCGCAGAGTTGGTCAGCCTCAGGCAGTGCTCAGAGTCCAGAGCCAACTGCCGTCTTCACCACAGCCAAAAAAGAGAGTGACTCAACCTGCCAGAGAAGAGAAGGTGTCTTTAGCCTAACTTCCATTTCCTCATAACATAACCTTTGCCCCCGTCAATATAAGTAAAACTCAATTAAACAAAACAGTTGCCAGGGCTCTGGAAATGTGAAGTCAAATGCTCTCATGTTGAGATCAGTTCACAGGAGGCCTTTTGGCTCAGGGATTTCTCTCCACCATCCACTTATTTGTAATTTTATGAATGATATTGCTTTTCCTGTATTATTATACAAAGGACAACTTTAGACTTCGAACAACGGAACAAATCAGAGGAATGAGGACAACAGGCAGGACAAAAGACAGAAGGCATGGGAAGGGGCTCACACACTGAAACCTGACCAGCAGGAAACCAGGGCATGACTCGGCCTTCTCTCTTTCAGGGTAGCCCCTGTGTTGGCCCAGATCAATCACCACACTCCCCTCTCCCCTCCCCTGCCCTTGGCCCTGCTTGTTTTCTCTTCCCACCAGCAGCTTTGTGCTTTGTTTCCCAGTCTCCTCCTGACACTCCTGGCCTGTAGTCTGTACACCACGTAGAGAGAACCAGAGTTTATAAGAAGTTAGGCAAAAAGACATAGAAAGAGGAAGAAGGTAGCAGAAAGGAGGAAAACCTGGTAATATTATTTAAGAAAACCAGAACAGAACTTCTTTTTGTTTATCTTCCCTGAATGTGGCAGCCTGATGGGAATGGCTGATCAAAAGGGAGCTGCTTTGGGAGATATTTTGTGCAGGCTGATCACTTCATTTCTGACATATGCCCGCAACACACAGAGTCACCAGTATATGAAGACTCAGAAGACCTCCTCAGCTGGGGATTCTTCTGACTGCCTGGACCAGAAAGAGAAAGGGCAGAAAGACAGGAAAATGTTTTCGTATTCTATGCGAGCAGTGGAGAGGAGACCAACATGTCCTGGAATAATGTGGGGACATGTAGTGACCTGGTGCTGGCATGATTGTGACCTTCTCATCACCTTACAGGGCTTAATTTAAATGGGACCTATTGACCTTTCCTGACTCTCTTTCTAAAATAGATCCTTCCATTATTCTCTGTCACAGTACCTTGTTTACACCTTTGTTAACACTTAACAATAAGCTGTAACTGTTTTGTTCACTGATCAGTTTGTTTGTTGACTGCATCCCCTGAAAGACGTAATCTACATGAACATGTCTACTTCCATTACTAATGCGAGATGTTCTTAAGTAAGGGCTCAATTTATATCAGTGAAATGAATGAATGAACAATAAAATCTTTAGGACAGTGTGATTTTCAGTAGATATTCCATAAACACAAGTTTTCCTCTTTAGCCTATAGTCTATTGGTGTGTATGGACACATGGAAATATTATACACAAGGCAGACTGAGTGGCATGCTGATTTAGATACCAAAGGGGAAAAAAAAGCAGGTGGTAAAGATTCTGTTCAAGGAGGTCTCAGGGACTAGAGAGGCCACATGCACACTTCAGGATTTCTGGAAACAGAGGGAACTTATGCTCAATCTATGTCCACCTTCTCTGCCCTCTTTGACCTCCAGGGTTGACAGGTAAAATATAGATGACCAAAAGCTAGAACAAATGGGCTGAGAAGTACCTACAAAGATTTGAAAACTCCCTAGATACGGTAAAAGCCGAGCTGTACTCACCATTCCTAGGCTCTCATCATTTTATTTAGGTGCATATTTCCCTCATTTTTTCCAACAAGAAGTTGAGGCAGGGTGGCTTAAAATGCCCCGATTCACAAGATGCTCTGTCCTTGGAAATGTTACCTAAAGACCCATTTCAGGCCTCTTCCCCCAAGCAGTTGGAGGAGAGCATAGAGTGTGACCTTGGCATGTGACAGTGGGGGAGGATGGATAGGATCCGCCTCAGACTGCAGGAGACCCCGAGGAGCCCTAAAGCATCCCCCTGCACACAAATTAGCAGCCAATTGTTTCTGCCTCCCACTCCCTCTTTTTCTGGAGTGAGACTGCACATCTTCCTTAATCCCAATAAAGTTGAAGCAAAGCCTGTGGGAGACAGATAAGGTTAGAGGGAGCTGGAGATGGCAGAAAGGCTGTGCCTTTTCTTTTAATCTGACTCTACCAGCGCCTGCCTAGTGAGGCCCCAGAGGTCTCTTTAAGGCCTGTCTGGCTGGAAGCACACTTATTCCAGGACTGCTTACGTCCTCCTGCTGTGCTGACAGCTTCTACACCTCCTAGCTCGCTGTCTGGAGGCTGGCTGTCATTCTCTTGCACTGTTCTTGATCCAAACCTTTTTTTTCTTTAGTTTTGAAGAGTTTGTTTTGTTTTGTTTTTATCATTTGGGGAATGGAAAAGACAGAAAAATAGAAACACAACTAAAATACTTCATATTACTGAAAAAAGAAATATTAAAATCAAATTCTAATACCAGGAATTTCTAAATTCTCTTTTTGGCTCTTGAAGCTACTGAGGTCACGTCTCTGATGTCTCTCACCACGGCTGTCTACTGCATTTATGTACATCTACTCCAGGCATCCAGAGGGACAGCACTCTCCTGGTTTCACCCACTCCTCATTAAACTCCCTCATCAGCGACCCATCCTTTAATTCTCGCCTCTCTATTCTCTCAGCAAGGAGTGTTCCAGAGAAGAAAGAAATAATAGACTTGGAGTTTAAAGACTTTGTGGGACTACCTCTTATGAAGGGACCCCAGATGCCTTCAACACAGGCCCCTGAAGAACACCTGAAGTGTCTGGAGGGGTGTCACTGAAAGATTTTTAGGCTCCCTCTGTGTTCCTTCAGAATAGGATTGGGCCAATCAGTAGAAGCTGCTGGAGGCAAATTTGGACTGTTCTAACAGTCAGAGCTCCCAGCTGCCCCACAAGACAACACTTGTCACCAAAGATGTTCAAGAGCTTTCTAGAGCTGAGGTTCCAGAGCCTAGACACCTGCTGCAATCACCGGGAAGTTTTAAAAAATATACAGATGTCTGGACCCTACTCCAGACCCACGGAATCAGACTCTGGGAGTTGGAGGCAAGAGCACATAACTTTGTATGAGAGAACATAGATTTAAGGACATCTCTCACACTTACTAACAGAGTTACTAAAACTCAGAGCTTTGGTTTTCTCATTAGTAAAATAGGGCTAAGAGACCAACTTTACAGAGTTGCTGTAAGACATAACAGTTAGTTATATGTGCTCAATAAATGTTACTGACTCAGTCAATGCTATTCACATTCAGGTGCTATTAGGAAGGAGTCAGAAGCCTGACATCTGTGGACTTAACAATGGACCCAAGAAACAATGGTCCTATATCTCTCCAACCCAGTAACAGCTAATGAATGGATTTTCAAGTCAGGTATAGCCCTTTACAATTCGTAAGGCATACTCATATACATTGCCTCATTCAGATTTTGGTCCTCACAACAGCCATGAAGAGATAATGTTATGCCAACTTCACAGAGAAGAAAACTGAACGCTGGAAGTTTGAGTAGCTTGTACAATGTCATCCTGCCAGTTATCCAAAGATCCAGGGTGTAAAAGAGCGTACACCTCCTAACTCCTAGTCAGGTACCATTATTTTCACTACCCCAAGCTTTGTTACCATTCAACTGTTTCAGAGGTCTTTTTCTTGCCTTCCCAAGTAGACAAGAGACTAGAGACTATATTTACGGTTATCTTTGCCTCCTATCCTGCTAGACATTGTCTTGCATACAGTGAGAGACCAATAAGTGTATGTTATTGGGATGACTCCATGGAATGGGTTTTGGAGAGAGTAGAGCTTTTTCATCAGCATAATCCTTAACTTGGGACTTGGGACTTTCTCTCACCTCGCTCTGTATCTCCAGTGCTCTTGATGTAAGGTTTACTTAAATCTCCTTTTTCTTAACCATTTGCACTGGTGTCTTCTCAAGTCCTGATAATTTTTCTGTTGCAGTGTTTTCTAGATGTCCCCCATCCCCACAGTCACGTCCCCAGTTGTCTTGCCACTCTTCTCCACCTCCCTAGTTAAGTGGAAGGACTGGAGCAGATCTGAGTTTGAATCTGCAATCTTCCCTCCCTAGGTTAGGTAATTTGGGGCAATTTACTTCGCATTTCTAAACCTCAATTTTCTCATCTGTGAAGTAGAAAGAATACTTACAAACCAAGGTTGATTTGAGAATTAAGAGGGATAATGGACTAGTATGCCTGGCAGATAGTCTATGCACAATAATTGTTATCCGAGCCAGTCCTGATGGCCTATTGGTTAAAGTTCAGCACTCTCACTCCTTTGGTGGCCTGGGTTCATTTCCCAGTCATGGAACCACACCACCCATCTGTCTGTTGCCATGCTGTGGCAGCAGCTCACATAGAAGAACCAGAAGGACTTACAAGTAGGATACACAACTATGCACTGGGGCTTTGGGGAGGAAAAAAAATACTAATGATAATTATTATTGGTTATATCCTCCCTCCCTCTAGTGACTTCTCCCTACAAAGATTTCTAAGCTGCAACAGTCACAAGAACAGAATCTTCAAGTATAATTTTCATTTTATTCAAGTATCTGCTCAGCTGTTTTCTTCAGCATTTCCTAAGCAATATTCTGCTCAAAGTCAAACTCCATGTCAACACTGTCCAATAGAAGTATACTGCAGGCCACAAATGTGAGGCTTGTGTGTAATTTTAAATTTTCTGGTAGCCACATTAAAACAAAGTAAAAAGAAACAGCTGTGATTAATTTTGATGGTTTATTTTCTTTAACCCAATATGTCTAAAATGTTATATCATGTAAAAATTATTAATGAAATATTTAGTCTTCGTTTCTGTACTAAGTATTCAAACTCTGATGTATATTTTACACTTACAGCACATCTCAATTCAGACTAGCCGCGTTTCAAAGGCTCAATAGCCATATGTGGCAGGTGGCTATCATATTGGACAGCACAGCCTAGATCTCAGTTTAACCTTCACCCACCAACTGCTTCTCTTTGCTAATGATCCTGATTTCCAGTGTTATCAAACACTGATCAAACACACTCATCTGCTACATTCTCCCTTTCTTGCTTAAGTAAATACATAAATCCTTCACCCATCTGGAAGGCCCTCCCTCCTTCTTCTCATGCTCTTCTCCTTCAGAACGTTGACTGCTGAACACTCCTCCAGAGAAGGTGCCTCTGCCTAATTCCACCTGGGTATGGGGTCGCAGACTGAGAAGAGAAGTCGTTGGTAACAAGCTAGAGTGATCTTGGGGAAGAGGAAAGGGTGTGAAGTGAAGCAGGCCTGGGTTTGCGTTCACGCCCAAGCTCTGCCACTGACTGCCCTTGATAGAAAGGAGTGGGTTGGGGCTAGGACGAGTAGCTGTCAGTATTTGAAAAGCTCATGAAATAGGCCACAATTAGCGATAATGATCCTCTAGTTTAGCCCAAGGAAGCCATACTTGAGATGGTTCCATTTATGGATCTTTCATAGACCCCATGGGGTGACTATTGTCTGTGACACTGACACATAGGGTTAGCACTACAATATCAGCCTGTGAGCATTCCGACCGTCAAAAGGCAGCAAGAGAGCAAGACATCTATTGCTCATCCTTGCCAAATCAGCCAGCTACATCAACACTGACTCGCTTTTTAAATTAAGGAATTAATATTTAATACTTTAGTCAGATTGTTTTTGCATAACATAGCCACATTGCTTTGCAGAGCTACTGGCTTGCAGGCGGAATGATTTTGTCATGAGATTATTAACCCCAGATCTGAGCAGTTTTTATCCCCTCACTATGAAGTTTATCAATAATATCCCCAAAGTCTAGCAAGTGCTGCCTCTTTTAAACAGTATCAATCTGAAGGAAGAAGCAACGATAGGTACAAAGCGGGAGAAGAAGATTTAGTTAAGCATTTAATAGTCCAGTCAATATTTTCTAAGTAAATTATCTTTTACCCTTTTAAATTAGAGATGAGTGCCAGCAAGTTGCAAATTAAAGTGGAAACTGGTTAATTAAAGTGGAAACTCCCTCAGGCTTTGTGAAAAAGCACTGAGTACCACAACCCCATGTCCTTGTGAGATTATGATTATGATACACTGTTTAAAAACATCATTTTTAAAACCCATAAATCTAACTAGTGCTCTTCCATAACCCATTCCCAACCATTTCATTGTGTTAGAAAGAGAGAGACCTTGATGCTCCCACATTTTTGCAAATAGGAAACTGTCCTTTTAATAATGCCATTTTAGGGATGCGTGTCCTAGGTCCCCATGTGTATGTGGTGTACAACTTTTAGTTTCTTCATCATTAATTGAAATAACTTTCCCAAAACACAAATCATCAAAGAAAAAAAGCTAGTTACCAAGGAGACTCCCTGACGAATCAGATCGTGATATTTGGACGTACTAATCTGCTTAGTTCAAGAAACCTTGTATTTAAATGAGGAACAAATTGTATCTCAACCAACTATGGATCATGAATTTCTACTGGCAAGAAGTACAGACAGCTTTAATTTATTTTTTTAACCATGAAAGAAAATTAGCAAGTACCTCTCATATGGAATCTGTGAACAGATTTAGACAGGTGGGGAACATCTCTTGAGCATGCTCGATTTAGGAAAACAAACACCATCCAAGGACAAAGTGGCCCAGTGGAAATGACTAAGGATAACCCCGAAGAGCCCTGCATTTCCAGCCAGGAATCTGCATGAGGATGCTCTTAGAAATGGGAACTAAGGAAATCTCTACATCTTTGGCTGCAGCTGTAACATTTTCCAAAATAAAGGCATTGCCACTAAAAGAAGGTTGACTCCTGATTCACCTCTGCATGACAAGAGTGAACTGCATGGATAATTCGGAAAGTCAGACCAGATTTTTTGGTTCATGGCTAGATAAAAGGAAGATTAACGTTCATATCCCAAAGTTTCTTCATTGATGCTCATCATATTTTTGTAACATGCCTTGGTGTGTTTGCCCGTCTGGAGTTTCTACATGGCTGCACAACGGGAATCAAGTAGCTATTACTAAAGGAAAGCTTTGCAAAGATAACAAAGACAAGGCACATAGCCAGAGGAATGCTGAAGTCTCCTCTTCTTGTGGGAATTAGAATACCACCCAGGACTTGTGGGTAAAACAATTAGTGGAGGCGGTGCACAGAACTCTGCCGGGTGGAAAGGAAGTTTCAAAAACTGTGCGAGTAACCAGGAGTTTGTAAAACAAAGCGGGATGCAGAACCTCAATTCGTATTATTTATTTTTACTTTTATGACTGCTATTTTCGTTCCTGAGCAGTCAACAGAGAATATTAGGAAAAAGACTACAGTTTTGAAAATGTCAGTACTTGGATTAAATTATTTCCGCCTTGTCTGAAAATACCTTTAAAATTTGAGTGAAGAAAAAGAAAGGGAAAAATTACCAAATCCTTGGAAACGGAAGATTTCTATAAATTACATATTTTTAAATAGGCTTTCTTCCTAAAGGTGAAACTACAGAGGAATATAATTGGAAGGAAAAATACCTTTGCCTGACACAGTTGAAATCTCCTTCCTGAGAACTTCAGGTCCACTGTTGCTAAGGTAACTCAACCGATTAAAGTTTGCATAATATTCCTGAACTTACTAACGAAATATGGAGGGGAGGAAGGAAGAGATTAAGTTTAGGGTGAGAAAAATTAGGAGTCAAAAATTAAGTGGACTACCACAACTTTTCCTTCGTTTTTCACATTCCACATAAGAATTCTAAGGGCCTAGCAGTTTCAAAACGATAAAGAAACTAATGAGATTCTGAGTGCCTAGGTGAAAGATATTTTATAGGACAATAATTTGAGGTTTAGACTTATGACATAAATTTTACTACTTCCTGTCTAGAATAAATAAAGCTGGTGGCAGCAGTTGTAGCCTGAATTTTTAAAATTCAAGTATATAATCATATTTTTCTGACAACTTTGTGAAATTTATCTTCCAGTCTTATTGATCTGTATCACCTCGGGCTTCAAATTAAGTGAGAACACAGTAAATAACTGTTATTTTAATGAAAAAGAACAAAGATGATGATGAATTTATGGTGGGAAGAACACACAGAAATAGAACTCGTACAGCACAAAAACCAATGAATGCGTTAACTCTGGGACTGAAAACTCCCTAACAATGCGTTTTTATTCATAAGTGGTTCCGTTATACCGGGAAGGTACACATCTCAGAGATCTGTAACGGTATTGTCCTGTGTGCGATTCCACGGACAATAAAAGGAGAAGCAAAAAAGTCACCTAAAGATGGAATTTGGGATATTTAATTTTTCTTTTTACTATTGAACTTCTAGCCCAAATTTCATGTCTTTGTAGATTTATTTATTTATATTTGATAGTCTTTGATTCTTGTGGAAGGGACAAGAGAAAGTTGTCGAATATGAGAAAGAGTAAGACTGGAGTAAATATGGTGAACTCTCTTCATATTCCTACCAAAAAATGTGAATGCCAATGTATATCAGCTTTGCTATCACTGCATATTCTTATTTGAAGAGCAAATGTTTCAATGTCTTTTACATATAAAGTAAAATATTCTGTAAGAATTAAAAATACCAGAAACAGAGAAAAGGAACTTTAAACTCATCATCAGCTTTGGCTTAAGTCAAAGAAAAGTCTTCAGAGCGTTATTATGTGGTATAAAATTTTAAATGAAGTAACATTCAGAAAACCCTAAGACTATAAAGAAAATCGTGATGGCTGCATATTATAGTGCAAATTTCTATTGTTATAGCTCATTTGTGACATTCTCTCCTCCAAAATGGTAGTAAAAAAACAAATATAGATTGACTTGATAATGGCGAGCATCTTGGTAATCACAAATTTTTAAGAATATTATTTTTCTCTGATTTTACTGTGCTTTGAGTAGTGTTCTGAGATGATATGTTTTACCAGTATTGTAATAACATCTTGCATTTGTATAATATTTTAGAAGCAGTAGAACATAGCCATCCAAATCATCTTATTTGATACACAAATACTCTGAGAAATACTTCTTTCCCCCTTCCTTTGTCTGAAGAAGGCAATATAGACTGAATGGTTAGGTGTCTATCCAAGGTCTTAAAGCTAGTGAGTAGTGGGACTGCAACTTGAACTTGAGTCTTCTCGCTTCAGTCATATGCTTCTGCCGTCACGTCACAATATCCCCATTAAAAAGGTGAAATAGGGGCCGGCCCAGTGGTGCAGAGGCTAAGTTCACACATTCCACTTCAGCCGCTGGGGGTTCACCAGTTCAGATCCTGGGTGCGGACATGGCACCGCTTGGCAAGCCATGCTGTGGCAGGCGTCCCACATATAAAGTAGAGGAAGATGGGCACAGATGTTAGCTCAGGGCCAGTCTTCCTCAGCAAAAAGAAGAGGATTAGCAGCAGATGCTAGCTCAGGGCTAATCTTCCTAAAAAAAAAAAAAAGATGAAATATTATTGCTAAATCTTCCTATGGAAACCTCATCAAAGGAAAAGAGGATACATCAAGAGCTCCAGCAGTGGTTGAACCATTAGTTTGTATGTAGCTGGACTTCATAAAGAAAACTCACATGTTGAAATAAGTTTGAAATATCTATTTATTAAAACACTTCCATTCTTCATTGCTTTCTTATAGGTTGTTGAACTTGTTATTTTTAAAGTATTAGACTTAACTAAACTAGGTTTCTATGAATAACAGAAGTAGAAATGTCTCTTCATTGGCGGACAATAGAGAAAGACCCTATTGTAAGAGTGGTGAGCACATGTTACTTAAAATGTAGTGTGATTGACATGTTGTGCACATTTAGGTTATGCAAATTTGAAATCGTGTGATATAGAAAATATTAATGAAGTCACTTTATAGACAAAATTTTCCATAATGAAAATCTGTATTTTTTAAAAATCCAGAACTACACAATTTCAAAGTTAGCAAATCAAGTGAATTATAAGCTGTATTATGCTGTCACCAAATGGCATCAATAATTGGTATCCTTTGCTAGAATCACATGAACCATATTGTTGCACGTATTAAAACTTCAGAAGATAATTCTGGTGACTATTTTGCTGTTATTTTAACACAGTGTTCTGATTATATACTACTTCTTTTATATACTATAACAAAGTTTCTAATCATTAATCAAATCATGGTGCTAGTGAAAAAAACAAGCCCTTAAAATAAATCACTTTGGAAGAAAAGTTAGATAAGCTAAAACACTTTAAAGAAGGCCAAAGAAGTACCAAGAAACAATGAGCTGCTGATTTAGGAGAGAGATCTCTAAAAATAATAGATAATTCTGCATCCAGATACCTAAAAGCATCTCTGAATGAGGAGGAGGGGAAGGAGAATAGAAAGAGGAGAAGAAAACAAAAAAGAAGAGGAAGAGATGGAGGAGGAAAATTAAGAGGAATAATAAGAGAGGAGGAGGAAAAGAAGAAGAAAGGAACAGAGGAGGACAGAGAAGAAAGATGAGGTGAGGGAGGACTTGCCACAATGGTGTAGATTTCTGTGCTCTTACAATGAGTTCTCCTTCTTTACACTTATTAATTTGGGGAAATAAGTCTTGGATTATCCAAGTTATATACCATGAAAGCTTTAAGAACATACCACTTACATAAATTATGATTTCCCTTAATAAAATAATGCGCTCAGATTCAGTGTTATGGATACTTCCCGCATCGGAAGATCCTCACGTGGTAGACTCAAGATTGGAGCAAAGCTTAAAGCTCATCAGCTTCGCCCAACTTTCAGGCAGTAGTTGAAATCTCCTCTGAAACGTACCCCAAAGGCAACCAAAGTGATCCAGAGATCTATAGGTCTATTAAAGCCTTTGAGTTTGCAAAGTACTTTCATGCGCGTAATCTCATTCAATCTTCACAATAATTTTGTGCAGACATAATTATATTAATTTTTACAATGGGAAAACTAAAGCTCTAAGAGTTCATATTGCTGCCTTAAGGATATAACACTGGCTAGAAAAAGACCAGGTCTTCTGACACACGATTCAGTACTTGTCTCCTATCAACTAAATAATTCCTCTTCACTGTCAAAAACATTTATCAAATTTCTTTAAAATTCCATTTGTACCCAAACACTTAATAAGTAGACAAATATTTTGGAAAGTGTATGGACAAGCTCTCTTCCAGCTTACCATCTCCTAACCAGGACAGTTAGTTAAATCAGCTGAGCTCTGGAACTTAGCTTCCTTGAAAGAACTTATCGAGCCATATAGTGCTCGCCCAATGCCCTCCTTTCTCAAAAAAGGAAGCAGAGGTCCAAAGAAGTGAAGAAAGTTTCTCTGTGTCATCACATGGCTATTTCCTTACAGAACATAAGAATTCGAAATATTCTTCCATATCTAATGGGACAGATTTAGGAAGATATCTGAGAACATACTTCCAGCTAACAGTATGCAAGAAAGAGCTCATTTCTTTTTCCAACCCATCCTCAACCACAACATCCTCTTGATGAGTAGTGTTAAAAAAAGAAACCCAAGAAATTTTTGATGTTTTTAAAATACTTCTAAAATAGAGGTTTAAAGCTGTAGAGAGTTTGCCTGGTTGAGTGTGAAACTGAGCCCCACTGAGCCGTATTAAAGGAGCCAAAGGTCCTCCCCGATAGGATTTTACTGTGACAGCCAGTCTAAGCTCACTTAATTAAGGCTGCTTACATTCTAGGTGGATTTTTTCAAAGCAAAAATAGATCTAGTCTGATGATTTTTTTTAATTCTAATAGCATTCGCTTCTACATAAGTACCAGTGCTAAAAACTGTTAATTAAGGGATATGAACCAAGTCTGAGCCCATCACTGTCAAATCTCTGTTCAAGGAGGCAGATGGAGTTAAGGTGCACACACCACACATTCTTTCCCCATTGAAAGTACCTAGTCCCAGTGCCTGATATAAAGTGAGTGCTTAGTTGTTTTTTTCCTTTATTCTTGTTTACATGGCTTTAATCCTAGTGAGTTCCTCCAACTTTATCATCTTTTTAAGGTATATAACATACATACATATATATAGACATAGACAGTTATAGATATAAGACTAGTTGATAGGGATGACTATGTACTTGCAGACTAAAGAAGAGGAGGTAGACAAATAAGAAGAAAGGGATGAAGATTAGTTATATAGTTAATTATACATGTCGACCTATTCCTTTAAAGTTTTAAGATAGCCAAGAGGAATAAGGAACAGATGATTAAAATTAACAGAAAAGAAAGAAGAAAAAAAATGAGGAAAACAAAAAGGGAAAAAGGACCAGAAAACAAAGAAAAGAGAAAATGACCATGAGGTCTGACCAACAATATTAATAACCACTTATTATGGGACTCTGATTTGCGAGGTACTGAATAGTTTACATTCTTATGTCGAACAGATATTCGTACTCTCATTTTGCAGAAAAGGGAGCTGGAGTTGAGAACAGGACCACAGAGCTGGAATGTTTTTGGAGTTGAGATTTGCTCACATGCTTTCCACCATTCTATTATTCCTATAGTTTTTAGGAAAACAAAGAGGGAATGGCTAGGAAAAAAAATAAATAAATAAAAGAGAAAAAACAGAGAGATGTTTAGTTCCACATTAGTGCCTCTTTGGTT